GCTGAATATAACCACAGTTCAAATTAACAAAAAGGAACCCTTGGTTTAAATCAGTTTTATTCTTGTTTTGCATTTTTAATTTGTGTTTTCTTTTGTTGGGCAGAACCATAAATAGAACTGAAGTGGAATCCAAAAAGGTCATGTAGTCTACCCCTCCACTTGAGGCAGACAAATATCCTCACAGACAAATACCCTCTTACCTGTTCCTCACACCTACAACCCTCCTCTACTCTCATTCCCCCAAATACTCCACTCTAATATGCTTACGCCAAGTATCTAATATCCAAACTAAACCTCCTGAGGTGAAAAGTGAACTAATTACTTTCTCTCTTACCTTTGGGTAGGTAGAGAGGGCATGGGTAAACACCACTATGATTTTATATTACAAATCCTTTAATATATTTGAAAGACCGTGTCTCTTTCCGACTTTGTCCTTGCATCCTGGACCTAACTTTTTCAGTATTTCCTCACCGGTCTTTTCTAAAGCTCTGCTCACTCCTACAGCTCTCGTCCTGGCTTTCTCCAGTTTGCCTATACTGTTTCATGGTGTGAAGCCAGCTCTGGACACTATCCCAGCAGAGCGACAGACAGCCAACAGAAAAGAGTAAAGGATATCCTATAGCTTACATGCAAGCCTCCCACTTATACCAAAGCCTGGTCTCTTCCCCATTTTCTCCCCCAGCCGTATCGCAGTGCTGACTCATTCAGCTTGTGATATCCCAACTCCACATGCTCTCTCACAGCGCTGGTACTTACTCAGATATCCCTTGTCCGCGCACATACACTTGTTTTCCCTTCCTCACTGCATTCTCTCTTACTTACATTTGCTGATTTCCCATCTTACTCATTGTAACCATTTCTGCATTTTACCAAGATGGCTTTGGACTCCAAACCTGCCCTCCACAAAGTCCAAAGCCTGCTGGAGCTTACAGTCCCTCGCACACCGCACCCTCCAGCCCATCGTCCCAGGCACTAAGGAACACCGTGAGCAGCACGCGGCCCGGGGCAGAACCCATCAGCGCTGCACTTCAGGCTACCGCCCCATCTGCCAAGCCAACCTCAGCTATTCCCTGAACACAGTACTTCAACCAGTCCTTCACCTGCCTCACCGCTATTTCACCTGGATGATTTTTCCCATGTTTATTTGTAAGGAGGCTCTGTGGCTTTCCGCAATGCTGCCAAAAGCCTTACTAAAGGCATACCTACTACTTCTATCTGCTACACCTCTTACTCCATTCGGAAAGGAAAAGAGGTTTGACTAATTTTCTTTTTCTTAACAAATCCACACTGGTTGTTTTGCTCTCTGCTTATTATCCCCTAGGCATTTACAAATTGATTAATAATTTTCTGGAGCATTTCACCATGCATCAAAGTTAAGCTGACAGGCTTCCACATTTTAGTGTTTAAGTTTGCCCTTCCTCATCCTTCACAAGTTCTTAAAGATAAAAGCTAAAGTTAGGGATGGTCTCGTCTGACTCCCAGGTACTCGGGGGTCAACTGGAAGAGACCCTGATGTTTTGACTGTGTCCAGCTTCCCTCCAGATAGACTTCCCCTCTGTTCCCCATCCCAGCGTGTGTTCTTTTCCCTCTATTTAAGTTAACTGTTCCAAGCACCCTGTCATGATTAACCCGCTTGGGAAAACTGAATCCAAGAAAGGCTGGTGTTCACCCTCCTCTTTGTGACCAGCTTTCCCCTCCTTGTCCACACAGTAACAGAACTCTAATGTCCTCCATCTTTCCCTTATTTCTCTAGTCTTGAAACAACCTGAATTTTAATACCCCTTGTAGTTGCAACTCATTAAACTAGGTGTTTGTGCTACTGTTTATTTTTTTCCCTTAGCAATGCATTCTCCTGTTCCCAATAGTTGTAATATTCCTGATTTTCAAGTAATTACAGAGGGCCTGAAGTATTTGTGATATTTTGTGTCTTCCTCCTTCAATGGGACAGTCTGCTGGCATGTCTGTAATATCTTCTCTTCCAAAAAAACATTCGTTCCCTTGAACTTTCTTTTCCCTCCCTTCCCAGCCCTTACCTATCTATTCCAAAGTTCAAAGAAACCAGCTCTTTTAAAGTCCTTTGACACTATTCTGCTGCTTTTACACATTCCTTCCTCTCCTTCAGATCAGAAACTCTTGTGTGATCATTTTCACTCACATTGCCTTCTGTCTTCAAACTCTCAACCACTTCCTTCTGATGACTCAGAGTAAAGCATAAATTCCTTCACTAATTTCCTTTGTCCTCAGAAACAAAAGTAACCCTCTGTAGATTTTAACTCTTACTAGACAGACTAGACAAGATTCACTTGACCAAGGGTAGCCATCTATTCAGCTTGTTGCTTCAGAGAAGACATCAGGATCTACCAGAGTGAGATTCAACTTACACCATAGCAGATGCCTAAAGCAAATCACATAAAACATCTCTAATGTTCCTATTTTCCCTAGAGTGCCCCACAAAGGGAAGCTCTGGCAGTTAGCTCACACGCTGGCATCTATCAGTCACAGAACTCTACAGCATGGAAGGCATCTCTGGAGGTCTCTGGTCCAACCTCCTGCTTAGAGCAAGGATTAGTGTTAGAGAAGGTTGTCCTGGGCCATGTCCAGTCGAGTTTGGAATATCTGCAAGGATGGAGATCCATGCCTTCTCTGAGCCCATTCCACTGTTTGACCACCCTCCCCCCCGCCTTTATAATTAGTTAGCATTTTCTGTGTTACAGCTTGCGTCCGTTGCCTCTCATTCTGGCCTTGTGCACATCTGAGAAGAATCTATTTTCTGTCTTCTCTGCGCCCTCCCAACAGGCAGTTGCAGACAGCAGTAAGATCCCCCAAATGTTGTCATCAGGCTGAACAAATCCAGCCCTCACTCTCTTTTCCTACATGACGTGCTCCAGCCCCTGACCATCTTGGTGATCTACCCATTGATTTGCTCCAGTCTGTCAATGTCTTTCTTGTACTGAGAACAAAACTGCACAGACTGTTCAAGATGTCATCTCATCAGTGCCAAACGCAAGGGAACGATCAGTTCCCTTGACCTGCTGGCTACGCTGCTGCTTGTACAGCCCAGTATGTTGTTGTCCTCCTTCGCAGCAAGGGCATGCTGCTTGTTCATATTCAAATTCTTGCTTACCAAGACCCTGAGGTATTTTTCAGCAAAGTGCCCTCTGGCCTGTACTGGTTCAGGGGGTTACTCCATCCCAGATGCAGGACTCTCTATTTGTGTTTGTTGAACCTCCTAAGGTCTCTGTCAGCCCACTTCTCCAGTCTGCCCAGATCCCTACGAGTGAGTGCTGCCCTCCAGCACATCAGGCACCTTCCCCAATTTGGCAGCATCCCACAAACTTCCTGAGGGTGGACCCTGTCTCATCATCATGGTCACTAACAAAGGTATTTGACAGTATTGGTCCCTGTATCATCCCATCAGGGATGCCACTAGATTCCCCGTTCACTTCTTGTCTACTTATCCAGTCCATAAGTTAGCAATCTGGCTGCAAGGACACTGTGGGAGACCATGTCAAAGGCCTTTGTAAAGTCAAGGTATAAAACATTCATTGCTCCTCCCTTGTCCACACAGCCCATTATCTCAACATGGAAGGCTGGTTTACCCTTAGTAAATCCATGTTGGCTCCTTCCAGCTACCTCCTTGTCCTTCTTGTAGACCTCTACACCAGAAAAGATTACTTGCTCTTCTGTGTCCTCCATACAACTGCTTTCTGTTAATATGTCTTGATACTACTTGCCTAAGCTTGTGGACAGTACACTCCAAATGTAACACTGAACTTATCAGCATGTTGACCTAAATCTAAATATCGCATGTATCCATCATAGAGTCATAGAATGGTTTGGGTTGGAAGGGACCTTTAAAGGTCATCTAGTCCAACCCCTCTGCCATGGGCAGGGACACCTTCCACTGGATCAGGTTGCTCAGAGCCCCATCCAACCTGGCCTTGAAGACTTCCAGGGATGGGGCATCCACAGCTTCTCTGGGCAACCTGTTCCAGTGCCTCACCACCCTCATAGTGGAGAATTTCTTCCTTATATCTAATCTAAGTCTACCCTCTTTCAGTCTAAAGCCATTACCCCTTGTCCTATCACTACATACATGCCCTTGTAAAAAGTCCCTTCCCAACTTTCATGGTTTACCCTTAGTGAAGCCATGCTGGCTGTCACCAATCACCTCCTTATTTTCCACATGCCATAGCATAGTTTCCAGGAGGATCTGCTCCATGATCTCACCAGGCACAGAGGTCAGACCGACTGGCCTGTAGTTCCCCAGACCTTCCTTTTTTCCCTTTTTGAAAATGGGTGTTATGTTTCCCCTTTTCCAGTCAGCGGAAACTTCACCAGACTGCCATGACTTCTCAAATATGATGGACAGTGGTTTAGCAACTTCATCTGCCAGTTCCCTCAGGACCTGTGGATGCATCTCATTAGGTCCCATGGACTTGTGTACCTTCAGGTTCCTTAGATGGTCTCGAATCTGATCTTCTCCTACAGTGGGCGGTACTTCATTCTCCCAGTCCCTGCCTTTGCCTTCTGTGATTTGAGCCATGTGGCTTGAGCACTTGCCGGTGAAGACAGAGGCAAAAAAGTCATTGAGTATCTCAGCCTTCTCCATATCCTGGGTAACCAGGTCTCCTGTTTCCTTCTGGAGAGGGCCCACATTTTCCATAGTCTTCCTTTAATCAACAACATACCTATAGAAGCTTTTCTTGTTGCCCTTGACATCCTGGCCAGATTTAATTCTATCAGAGCTTTAGCTTTCCTAACCTGCTGCTTGAACAGTTTCTCTGTGTTCTTCCCAGGCTACCTGTCCTTGATTCCAGCCTCTGTAGACTTCCTTTTTGTGTTTGAATTTGTCCAGGAGCTCCTTGTTGATCTATGCAGGCCTCCTGGCGTTTTTTGCCCGACTTCTTTGTTGGGATGCATCACTCCTGAGCTTAGAGGAGGTGATCCTTGAATATTAACCAGCTTTCTTGGGTCCCTCTTTGCTCCAGGGCTTTATCTCATGGTACTTTACCAAACAGATCCCCAAAGAGGCCAAAGTCTGCTCTCCTGAAGTGCAGGATAGTGAGCTTGCTGCATGCCCTCCTTGCTGCCCTAAGGAGATTGAACTCCATCTTGCCATCGTCACTGCAGCCAAAGCTGCCCTTGAGCTTCACATTCCCCACCAGCCCCTCCTTGTTGGTGAGAACAAGGTCTAGCATAGCACCTCTCCTCGTTGACTCCTCTATCACTTGGAGAAAGAAGTTATGATCAACACATTCCAGGAACATCATGGATGGGTTTTGTGTTGCCCCTCCACCAGATACCGGGATTGTTGAAATACCCCATGAGGACCAGGGCTTGTGAATGTGAGGCTGCTCCTGTCTGTCTATAGAAGGCCTCATCTGCTCGGTCTTCCTGCTTGGGAGGCCTGTAGCAGACCCCCACTATAACGTCACCTATTCCTGCCCTCCCTTTAATCTTGACCCATAAGCTCTTGATCAGTTCCTCATCCATCCCCAGGTGGAACTCCATGCACTCCATAAACATGGCATTTCTTTATTTCAGTTAGCACAACCTACACATATTTATTTCCATGATTAGCATTCTTATACACAACTCTTGATTGATTTTAGAATATAATTGACTAGAATAGACTATTCCAGTTGGAAGGGACCTGCAATGATCATCTACTCCAACTGCCTGACTGATTCAGGGCTGACCAAGTTAAAGCATATAATAAAGGGCATTGTCCAAATGCCCCCTCAGGCTTGGGGCATCGGCCACCTCTCTAGGAAGCCTGTTCCAGTGTTTGACCACCCACTCAGGAAATACATGTTTCCTAATGTCAAGCCTGAATCTCCCCTGGTGCAGCTTTGAATCATTCGCATGCATCCTATAACTGGATACCAGGGACAAGAGATCAGCACCTCCCTCTCAATTTCCCTTCCTTGGGAAGCTGCAGAGAGCAATGAGGTTGCCCTTCAGCCTCCTTGTCTTCAAATTAGATAAGCCCTAATCCTTAGCTGCTTCTCATGGGACATGCCTTCCAGCCCTTTCATCAGCTTTGTTGCCCTCCTCTGGATGCATTCAGGGACTTTCACATCCTTCTTAAATTGTGGGGCTCAGAACTGCACACAGTATTCAAGATGAGGCTGCACCAATGCTGACTACAGCAGGATAACCACCTCTTTTGACCAGCTGGTTATGCTGTGTGTGATGCACCACAGGATGCAGGTTGCCCTCTTGGCTGCCAAGGTGCACTGCAGGCTCCTATTGAGCCTGCTGTCGACCAGCACCCCCAGATGCCTTTCTGCAGGGCTGCTCTCCAGCCACTCTTCTCCCAGTTTATACATGTGCCCAGCATTTTTCTGTCCTAGGTGCAGAATCTGTCATTTGGACTTGTTAAATTTCATCCCATTAATCATAGCCCAATGCTCCAATCTCTCTAGATCCATCTGCAAGGCTTCTTGTCCGTCAAGAGAGTCAACAGCACCTGCCAGTTTGGTATCATCAGCAAACTTGCTAATGGTGCATTCAACTCCTGCATCCAGATCATCGATAAATGTATTGAAGAGAACTGGCCCTAGAATTGAACCCTGAAGAACACTGCTGGTGACCGTTCACCAGCCAGATGTAGCCCCATTCACTACAACCCTTTGAGCCCTGCCCTTCAGCCAGTTCTCACCCAGCGCACTGTGAACCCGCTCATCCCACCGTTGGACAACTTGTCCGGAAGGATGCTGTGAGGGATTTTCATTCCTTACATTCCCATTATATTTGGGCCATGAGTAATGATAGATTTTTCTGACTAGGGTTGACTAGGTTTTTTTTTTCTCTGAGATTCACGTTAAGCTCTAGTTGTGAAATAGATCTTAGTATGTAAAAGTGAAATACAATTAATGATAGATTTTTCTGACTAGGGTTGACTAGTTTTTTTTTTTTCTCTGGGATTCACGTTAAGCTCTAGTTGTGAAATTGATCTTAGTATGTAAAAGTGGAATACAATAAAAATGTTGAAGAACAGTATTTTCCAAATAAGCTACATACTCAAGGCAAAAATAAGCTTATCGTTATACTTCTTAAGTAATCAGTCTCATTAAGCAAGGAAACATTACCTTCACTTGATGAACTGAATGTCTGGGTTCTGGTTACCAAATTTCTCAAGATCCCAGAACTGGTAGATCTTATTCTCTACTGCACAGATTTTGTTTATAGATTAAAAGAGGAAAACAAGCTTTTCAGCTTTTTTTTTTCTCCCAAGTGGTTTCTTACTTTTGAATGAACTAGTCACTGAATTGAAATAGCTGAACAAACATGAAAAAGATATTATCTCTGCACCTGCAGAAGTCAAAAAAGAGTTTAGCTCTTCAACAGCAGGCGTTTAACCAGCGACTTTCACCAATTCTGTTGTCTGACTTCCTTTGCATTTCAGCAGCAAATACTCACTGCTATACGCTGAAAAATATGAACTCAAATAATTACAAGAACCTGTAAGATCTAACTTTATTATGCTGTCTGAAGTTCAAATAAATCCAATGTACTTTTCTTTTAAAAAGTAAATACACAGCACAGTTTTAATTTAAAATCACATTAAATATTTCATAGCCACTTTGGACTGCACAGTTTGCAACTGTTGGAAATACTACAGTATGTTAACACCATTTTTAGTTCTTTGATTTTTTTTAAAGAGGAAGAAAAAAAAAACCATGACAGAGACCTTGCTGAGAAAAAAGATGTAGAAGCACTTGCTGCCTCATTCCCCATAGAATCCAAGCATGTGCTGCAGGGAAGGAACAGGAATGGGGTAGATGTGAATAAAATCAGCTTTTGATATTCAGAACTGTGTTGCAGTAACTTTTGAGCAAACATATTGCTGGCTTCAAAAAGCTTTTATTTCATGGTTTTGCAATTGTAGCATAGGTTTTAAAATTTCCTGACATTCAAGCTGTAACATGTACAAAATCTAGCTTCACTGCTGCCAGTATGGTTCAACCTGGCCTCTTTGGATTGAGTTTGACATTTTTCCTATCTCAGACACAGCTCTGAACCAAAAAGCTGAAGATGCCAAACAATGCTTTTAAAGGTCACAAGATCGGTCTGCACTTGTAATAGTTTGTCTCTGTCTTCCCTTAATTTTCAATGAAAATACCTCACTTATACACAGGCTAAGTTGGACAATAAAGAGAATAGTTCTAAATTGGAACTAGAGATGCAAAAACCCATACAACTGGGCATGGATTAATTTTATGTTTGGCAAATCTGTCAAGCACCTAGATCAGATGTGCTGATAAAACAAGACAGCTTAAGGCAGTAAACCTGTCAGATCCATCTGTTCTTCAGGACATCGAGAAGAAAAGGAATTGCTCCCTGCGGTATTCTGTACACTTGAGACCATTTTGGAGAGGTTTCCCTCTGCTGCTGACAGCAATTCAGCTCTACCAGCCTAAGCCAGTGGGTTTCCACCCTTTTTCCTGTGTTCCACCTGGGCACATTGTGAATCCTTGGTCTCCGTGGTCTGAGAACTGGTGGCTGGGACAGGGATGCAACTATATTGGAAAGGCTTCGACAAAGTCAGGAAACAAAGCACAGAAAGCAAGAGTGAAGCCCATACTGAGTCCACCTAACCCAGGATCCTGGTTCCAGCAGTGGCTCTCAGCAGCCGCAGGCTCCCTGCTCTTCACCTCAGACCAGGCTCACACCCATTATCATAGAATCATAGAATCATAGAATGTTTAGGGTTGGAAGGGACCCCTAGAGCTCATCTAGTCCAACCCCCCTGCAAGTGAGCAGGGACACCACTAACTAGATCAGGTTGCTCAGAGCCCCATCCAACCTGGCCTTAAATGTTTCCAGGGAGGGGGCCTCCACTACCTCTCTGGGCAACCTGTTCCAGTGTTTCACCACCCTCATTGTAAAGAATTTCTTCCTTATAATGTCCTCCACTATTTTGTTAGCGCTACAATATCCCTTCTCACACTATTCTGCTGCTACATCCAGAAACTCCTACCATGAACACCCCTATCAGGACAGCCTTCATACCCCTCACAACACAAGTCAGTAGTCTAAGCGACCGCAGGGAACCCTGAGAGGACAACAGCCGCTCTGGTATTTGCCACTCATCTGTCCAGCTCCCCAAAGCGTGGCTGCAGCCAACGTTGAACTACAGTGCTAGCAGCTACCAAAGAGCCAACCGCTGTATGACTCCAAACATGGACCACACCAACTGGAGCAGAACAAGCACAGAAACAGTTGACAGGGCTGAGGTGTTCATGACAGAAATCATCTTCCAGCTGTGTTTTAACAAAAACCACATTTGAGCCACCTGCAGCCACATTCAAGGAGTTTGGCAGCTGTTCAGGGTATGTGCTACTTTCTCACAGGAAGGTAGAATTAGAGTAAATTTTTTTTTTTACAGGATATGTACAACCCACTGATATTGGGCTGGCTATAGATTTTTAACTCAAGTAACACCCACTCATTTCTCACTTTTGACTGGCAGGAGAAAAGAGGGAAGGAGGTCTCTAGCATAAATGAACACTGGAGACCCAGATAACAAGCACAAAGCTCAGCTGCTTTCTGGATTGAGCAGCACTCAGTTTTGGCCACATCAAGGTAGGAAACAAGTCCGCAAAAGCTCCTTTGTACCATATACTAGTCACTTATCCATATTATCCAACCCACCTGAAAAGCAAACATCCAAGAAGACAGAGCTCACTAGAAAAGATCACGCTTTGCTCAGCCCTGCCAGATTAGCCCCAATTTTGAGAGGTCTTTAACCTTGTTTCAACTTCTCCCTAAATGTTTAAATCTAACATCGGGGTGCCTGTCCTGAATGCAGGCTGTAACAGTTCTATGGAGAATGACTTGCTCTAGCTCAATACCATGCTGATACTGACTCCGAAGCAAGACGGCCAAGCATCTTGTCCTCTGGTACACAGGCCTCCACGTGCAGGTCAGACAAGAGAGTAGGGCATGGATGTTATAAGAAGGAATGGAAAGGGACCGTTTCCAGAAACTGCAGCCTCTGCCACGCAGAGCCAGGGGGAGCTGGTCTGCAGATCACAGGTGTGCACGTGTGGCTGTGGCACTAGGATGGGCAGGTGAATATGTATAAAGCAGCTTCACCCTTCAGCTGATCATGCAGCACGTACCCAAAAAACAGCCAGCAAGGTGGGTCACAGAATGGATAGGGGCTCTGGTGAAGCCCTGCAGAAAAAGGGGATGGAGATGAGGGGCAAATCGTAGAAGCCTCACAATGCATGAGATAGGACAAAGCTGGGTCAGACCCATACCGTCTCATTCTTGCTAAGCACCAGGGGTGAAGGATTAAGCATATAACCCACTATAGTTCAAGAAAGTCATGCATATTATCAGTTACTTAAAATGGCTGGCAAAAATTGTGAAGGAACAAAACAAGCAATCAGAGCTGAGGGTCTGATTACTGAAAACCAGAAATACCCTTTTGGAAAGCTGGCCTTATTTGCTGCAAATCAGTTGCGGCAGCCAATTTGAAGCTATCACACCAGCATGCTGTTACATGTAAGTTAATAAGCACTTACTATTGATGGTTTCTGCAGTGGCTGTTTAATTTTTAATCATATCCTTACTTTACTGTTTATGTTTTTATCCAATTAGAGTGTGTGCATGTGTGTGCGTCTGTGTGACGGAGAGAACATGGAAAACTGTTTATTCGGAAGTACAATGCCTGGCTTTCTAAATGAGGAGACATGTGTGTCTCCTGCTTGAAATTTTTTCACACAGCCCTCTTATTTTTCAGGAGAATGCCATCTCAGGCTGCTGTGTTATGTCGCACCATTCTGCTGTTAGAAATGGGCACCACTGACCTCTCTCTGCAATGCTGTACTTGGAGTTTGGAATTGAATGTCATTAAAATATCCAGTGCTAAGAAATGGGCAGTTTTACTGGCTCTTTCCCGAACAGAAATCCCAGCATCCCTTTTAATCTGTAGATCAAACATTTAGGTAACACCCTGGGACACCCTCATCCTCCTCATCCCCATTTCAACCTTTCATTAGATTTCTATAGCCATAAAAACTAGATGCACTGAAGAGATGGAAGATGGATCATTTATTTTTAAGCACTGACAATTTTTCATGGTGATCAACAATAAAGTTCTCAATTACAGAGGGAGAGTAAATAAACCAAAGAAGGACAGAGCAGGGTGACGATGGATGGATAGAGATTAGAACATCTCAGAGTCCAAGAGATGAGCTAATCACAAATAAAATAATATTACATTCCTATTACTACCTGACATGCTGGTGGGTGTAATGCCAGTGATTAAAAAAAAAAAAAAAAATCACAAAAAGGAAAGCCAGAAATGCACTCAGCAGAGGCATAATGTGGTTGATATGGATCCTGGCAGAGCTCTCAGGAGGTGACAAGATGCCCAGCGCAATTCCCTGTGCCTGTGCCCTCCACATCCAGGCTGCCTCCGGTCACAGGCTCAGCTGTACAGCAAATTAGGACAGGCAATAACAGGTCTGTACGCTCCTCGGACAGAGGCTGCTCTCACTCCCAGCAGGTAGCGGCTGAAGGGAAGAGGCAGCACCCTTTGTTTCCCCCAGGTAGCATCTACTTCAAGGAGAGACGACGGCAGGTACCTGAAGAGCTCCACAGCAAAGATTTAAATGGAGGTGCCTGACCAGGACTCACAGCCTCCTCCTGCCGTGTTCATGGCTCGGCACCTGGATACTCACATCCCACTGCAGCTGTAATCCCTGCATCCTTGAGAGCTATGCTGAAAAACCCAGACTGGCATCTACTTTATTTTGCTCTCAGGAATAAAAAAAAGAAAAAGATGCAATTCTATCCCTTGCAAATGTGACACCTCCAATTTCACTTATTTTTCTCTACAGCACAAGGAAGGCAAAGATAAAAAATCAATATGTTCATAGAAAAAATAAACATCTAAAAGTTCCCATAAAAGGAAGAAACTAAAGGGCTATAGCTACTCTTAACAGCGGCAGAACAGGTTGGATTAATGTGCTGAGGTAGAAGACTAACAAATAGAGAGGAGTAAACTGCTTTTAGAGCAAACGCTACAGGTCACAGCACCCTTTTTCAGAAGCCCATTGCACTCTGTAGCCAAAGCACCGGGCAGTTACATGCACCTTCACACAGGAACCGTTCCTAAAAACACCCACTCCGGGGAACGTTCCTGCAGAGTCCACGCAGCCCTGCTCTCCAGGAACTGGGCTCCGGTGTTTAAAACAAAAGCCGTCTGCATCAGCCAGCCAGCACAAAAAGGCACCTTCAGTTCTTGTTTTCTTCTTTGCCCCCGGGAGCAGGAACTTGCAGCAAGGAAGGAGGAGACAGGAAGGTCTCCAGTAGTCTCGGAGTCCTAAAGATAGCAATGAAACTAGCACGAAGGGAAGGAGGAAACTACCCTCCCACATAAGAGGAAACCCCAAAATAAAACTTTTTGGCAGATGGTAAAAGGCTTTAGCATTCAATAAAACGAATGAGCTGCATGAGGATGCAAGAGAGCTTTAAGGGAGACACAGAAACCAAACAAAAGATATGTGAAGCAGCTTGGCTTTTCAGTCGGTTTTCTGTGTTATTATTTCAAGTCATTTTTTGATAGGTTTTACCAGCTTTTCTATTTAATTTAAACTTTGAAGTTCATGGTTTTCAAGAGACTTACACCTTCATTGCCTGTACTAACTAATTATATGAAAGGGAAGAAGTTTTCAGTGAGTTTTCTGAATTATAAAGTAAAAGTTTAGTTCCCAATAAACATTTCATCTGGGACTCTCAGCCTGGTCCTGGCCTTCCTGTGTAAGACTGGCCCTAGTTATTATTATTATTATTATTATTATTATTAAATATTTGTGTCAGGCTCAACCACAGCCAGATGAAAAGAAGAACTGAGAGTACTAGGATCTGTCTAACTGCAGTTATTAAAGCACTTGTGTCTCAGAAAAATTGCCAAAGCACAGGTAAGTTATAACCCTGTCCCAAGACTGTATATAAAATGAGTCCTCGTCTGCTTCAGACTAAAGGACCATTTACATTGCAAGTAAGAAAACAACCCCAAAACCTCTTAACCCAGAACTTGTAACTTATTAATTTTAGCCTTTTTGGTTGGTGCTTTAATTCTACTACCAGTGAGCATCAGTTAGCTCAGTTAAAAAAATGTACACAGAAAGTAATAGAAAATGAAAGACATTATTAATTATAGCAAAAAAAAAGCAATTTAAGGGCATAGCATAACCAAATTTTGATAACAGGTACAGATAAAGACAATAAAATCAATAGACTAAGGCACTGGAAGATTGGTGGCAAATTAAAAGTGGGTAATGTCACTTGTTATATGCTTCATGGTGAGAAGCAAAAAATGGGAAGAGCTACTGCCAACTTTTCCTCTATTTAATTTCAGCTATCCCAAATTAGATGGCGAGTCCTCCAGCTGACAGAGGCAGGAACCTCCAGAGGGCAATGTGTTGCACCTATCATGGGCATCTGTTTTAGAAGGGCACAGATTATCTCTGGAGGTGGCTGTCGTTCTTCGTGGATTATTTGAGGAATGCGAGCAATGAATTCAACCAGACACCTAACTTTTAGCTGGCTAATGTAAGATGCGACAAAGACACTTCAAACTGCTCAAGCTAAAAGACAGTATACTTGTTTTTATCTTTGATTATGCCATTTTAGTAAAGAACATGAATAAAAAGAGTAAGATAAAAGCAAGTTTTGTGGGTTTCATTTTCAACAGTGATAATGAAATTAGGATTGCTAATAACATAGGCAGTGTACATCATCAAAAGAGATTTTGAGACCAAGTGAAAAATAGGCTTTATATAGTTAAGAAAAAAGTTCTAAAGAGTACAAACCATAAAAATTGTATTTTTGATACAATAAAATTGGCAAGGGATCATATTTTTCAATTTCTGAAAGACCTATGTTGGGTTAGAGAACAGAACACTTATGTTTCTGTATTTTGTGGGTTTAATTAACTTACTAAAAAGGTTTATGGATTTGATCCAAAGGTCAGCAAAGCCATTGGTACCCTTCATTGATTTGAATGGGCTTTATAGTTTCATACTGTAGAGGAAAAATGGGGTTGATCCTGTTCTCATTTTAACTAGTTTCACATTTTGCTGAAATCAATGGAGCATTACTCCTTCATTTGCCCTCGTAGAACCAAGAGCAAAGTTGAGGTCTCAGATTTTCCAAGAGAGATAACTGGGATAAAACCAACCCATAGCTGGTGGTAGACATGAATTTATTCTTCATAGTAGAGTAGCTACTCTTGCTATTTACTCACTGTCCTAGAATTGATAGAGAATGTGTGCATGAAGAGTATGGATCAAGTTTTAAGTCAGCTAAAGACTTGCCCAAAGACTCTAGCCAAATTAATTATAAGTAGCAGAAACTTAAAGAAGACACTTGCCTTAGGTGCTCCTAGTTCCCAGAGACATCCTTGATAAAAGGATTCCTCTCTTCCGTTCCCAGCATGTTTACATTCCTCACCTAAATGCCCTGGGTTCTGATCATCTGGATCAGGAGAAAACACTGAAGAAATCAGTAAAAAATATATTCTTATATCAGATTTACCATGTGATCAGCTAAGCCATGTAGAAGTACAGTAGAATTCCCACAGTGACATTCCCATTAGTAGAGGGAACCAGAGATCTCAAGAATAGCAGTAACAGTGTAATAAAGGAAAACATGAGTTGCTGACAAAGCAATGGTCACACATTTTAGTGCTTATCACAGCAGCTGGTAGTTAAGAAGGGAGAGAGAAAATTTATCAAACAATTCTGGCAAGCAAGTATCAGTAAACAATAATAATTCACTCAGAGCTTATCAGGATTAGAAGAAAATAAAACACTATTTTCACATCAATAGCTGAAAAAAACCCTCTACACCTAAAGGAACATTTCTAGGAAAAGACAAAAAAAGCTCATAGATGTCTCATTTTATGAAAATACATCCCAGCAAAAAGACATTCGTTACCTTGATGGGCTGTAAGGACTGGCTGCTTTTCTATGACCCTCAAAAAACCATGCTCCAGGTTTAAGTAGAGATCTACAAAAGTCAACAATATCAGTGGTTAGAGTCACAGTCAACAGCTGTAACAGAATGGATGGCAGCTGCACTGCTGGACACATTAAAGCAATTCTTGAGTCGAGAGAAAAATGCATTCAGAAACTACACAGGTGACAAATGGTTTGGCAGTGAAGCTTCAGAGGTAGGAGTATCCCTCCCTTCCTCTTTCCTGTCCCTCTCATCTGAAATATAGTTTGTTTGCTTCAAAGCCTTTAAAGTTTGGACCAAGAATTGTAACTGCTGTGATACCATGGGAGTGATCAGCGTAGGGAATTTTCAAAGTCTACCTGCGTCCTTAATTGCCCGACACTTTTAAAAGCCGGTCCGTTGTCTAAGACAATGCTGATCGCTCCTTCCAGCATCCACGATTCCTTAAATACAGCTGGACCATCTTGGCACCTTATGACAGAAAATCACAAGAAATGGCTGAAGAGCGTTTCACATAGCTACACTCTCCAGAACAAGCTGAAGAAAATCCTCAGCAGACAACTGCAGTCTAATCAGCCCTTTAAACACTCAGGCTAAAGGAGAATCAACAAAAGAAAACTAGAGCAGGAGATATTAATCTCTTGGCCCAATTTTAACAACAACCCTCAGTTACTCAGGAGTTCTTAAAGGAATGAAAGACAAAAAGAAACAGAATAAGAAAGAACACTTTCCTCTTTATTTCTCGAGTAGACTGGAACAACCTAACACTTTACAGAAAGACGGAAATGTTATTACAATTCCTTCTCCATGCCCACGTCCAACATACACTGAAGAGAAAACAAAACCCATGCAGCTTAGAGGACTTTGGAGAATAAGTTTTAACAACAGAAGCTTTGCGTTACTGCTCCCTGGACAAAGGCATAATCAGTTATCAGGAACTCCCTCTTTTTTCTGTGCAAGACCTCTTTTTCTTTCAGGTCTTTCTCTCAAACCCCAGCTCCTGAAAGACCTACGCAACAGTGCGCTCTCAACACAACAAACCAGAACTTAACTTCAGAGTCTGCCAGCTGACATTATTGAGAGTAAGCCTCAGGGAAGAATGAAAGAATATGGCAAAATCACTTGTTTCAAGGCCCAGGTGTTGGAACTGCTTCAACACCATCTCACATCATCAAACGCCAGCTAATGCCAGCTGATCGCAGCTGGGTGTCCCAGATGAACTGACTGGGAAGATCTGAATGCTGTTCCTAGTGGAGAGGACTCAAAACTCTAAGGCCATGTCAATGTAGGTGCCTTCAGACTGCTCTCAGGCTTGAAGGGGAACCTTGACATGACTTTTCACATGCAAAAGTCTCTAACTTGCTTATCCCTACAGCTCCTGAGGATGAGCTCTGGCCCTCTTCTATAGTTGAATGAGTGCGCCAGATCAGAGTCCTGACATTTTATACCAGGCTGTCTGGATATAAAATGATGTGTGCATTCCTGAGTCTGGCTATTTTCTAATCGAGTTGTCTTCAGGTGGAAGTCATTGTACAAGCCAAATGTGCATAAACCAACTACTTTTCCAACTATGTGGAAAAGCTTAACTGAGAATAAGCTCTAAGATGTGGATGAAACCTTAGCGTGGTTGAGGAGCTTCAGAACTGTGTGGTATTGCCATGTGCAGACTGCCTAAAACTCATCCCATCACCCCTACACTGAGAAAAACGGTCAAAGACTGACTCAGTGCCCTTACAGGTGATACCTTTGGCAAAGCACTGAGGCTCTTACAGAGCTACTCACTGCAGATTTTCTCAATGCATCCTTTCTTTGTATAGGAAACTTTTCATGTCAGGTGACTAGGAGGTATTTTTACTGATAAAAACTTTGAAGGTAACACTATGCAGAACAGTATATATTTAAATGTTAGGATCACATAATACAGCTGTAGCTGAACTGCAAACAGAAAAATAGATTTATTTAAAAACCAATTCCCTGCCACGTTTCCATTCACATTCATGCTGCAAATCAAGGCTTCTGTATTTATGCTGTCATTTGTTGGAATCAGCATTTAAATTAAAAAAAAACCCAACAACTTACAGGTGCTTTATGAGTACTTAGGCTGCATAGAGGAAAATCAGGTATTTTTTGAAAACTGTTCAGAATTTTGTTAGAATTCAGAACTCCTTAACGTCAAGAACCGCAAGATCATTGGTAATACACTTCAATTTATTATTTTATAGGGAATCAATTTCAATTAAAATCCATTCAAATAGTGACTGGAAAAATTCTATAATATTGATCTTAAGGGGGAACCAGCATAGTTAAATTATTAATCATACTTGATCATGTCATAAAGCACTGGGCTAGTACCCGTGCTTTATGATCATGTCAAATAAAGAGCTTAAAAAAAACACCCTTTCCTTTGCGGAAGATGCCAGCAATCTGCATACTGCTTAGCAATAAAGAAACAGTTCATAACACTCCTGACTGCCTATGTATAACTAAGTAAATGAAGGTGCTCCATCATATGAAGCATAAAAGCCATTAAGAGTAAACTTCTATTTGAACAGAACCACATTCATTTTTAAAATTACATTACAGAAATACTTTTAAAGAATGTGAACGAAAAAAGAGAAGCTTTTAAATAAAACAGGTCCTTTTTACACAACTTAGAAAAGCAACTTTGCAAAGGCATAAAAAGGAAAGGGTTTTTCTCCCTCCTTCCTTGAATCTTTCCAGTAATTACAAATCTTTATTGTACAGGCCATAAATACTAGTAACAACAGGAAGAATAATGCTTTTGAACTATTTGGCAACATTCATCTTCAGGGATTCAAAACAGCAAAACTTTATTTTATATTTTCAAAAACGCTTTAAGTCACTTGTGTGTTTCTTAACAGTGCCAATATGATGGAACACTTTTCCAACAGAAGGCATTCATGCAGGCATCAGCAACACCAGTTTAATAAAATCAGAAAGATGGTGTTACCAAAACTCATAGAATCATAGAATCATTTAGGTTGGAAAAGACCTTTAAGACCATCAAGTCCAACCGTTAACCTAATACTGCCAAGTCCACCACTAAACCGTGTCCCTAAGCACCACATCTACCCATCTTTTAAATACCTCCAGGGATGGGGACTTGACCACTTCCCTGGGCAGCCCATTCCAGAGCCTGACAACCCTTTCAGTGAAAAAATGTTTCCTAATGTCCAACCTAAACCTGCCCTGGCGCAACTTCAGACCATTTTCCCTCATCCTATTGCCCATTACCAGGGACAAGAGACCTACCCCCACCTCGCTACAGCCTCCTTTCAGGTAGTTGTAGAGGGATGAGGGCAATTCATCCAGCTTTCACACCAACTTTTTTTTCAGCATAGGAGTTTACATCTAGGCATAGCGAGTGGGAATTGATCTCACCTAAGTTTAGTCGTCTATCATGTAGACAAATACATCTGGCAGTCATCCTGAGCTTCTGTAACAATCAATGGAGAGCAACAGGCACAATTAATCTGATGTGCCTGAGGTGTGACTGGTGTACCTGAGGTACAGAGGAGGTGCAGCTACTACTGCATGCACACGGTAGTAGGATTGCTCAGAGTGTCTGTGGAAAGCAGAAGATATATACCCAACTGAAGGTGTGCCAAGTTTGGCTTTGGCACTTTCGGCACCACTGAGGCTGCCAGTGACTATATTCTAGTTTGTAAAAAAACTTGCCGTGAACAACTTGTTTCATGACAGAGCGAGACAGACACTCCACAGATACTAAGAGAATTAGGCAGGGAAGTACTCTTCCTCATGCGGCAATTCCGGATGCTGGGGAGCCCCACGGGATGGCATCACAGAGAGAGGCCAGGGTTCTGGGCTCTGCCTAAACAGCATCTGCCACTGCCAGAGGCAGAGTGCCGGGACAGGGGGATACTGGATCCAACCAAGAATGGCACTGCTTATCTTCTTATTTCCAATGCTATCCACTCAGTTTGACCATAAACATGTTAGCTGATGAAGACGGCCAGGTTTTGAACCAGAAGCCCAGCAGTGAAAATTTCTATGTACTTTTTAAGGGGTTGGAAGTATAGTTAAGGCTCAGATTTCCTCAATTCTTTTATGAAACAACTATCAACCCTAATTTTATTCTATGTCTGATTTCTGGAAAAATCTTATTAGAAATGATAAATATATTTCATTGTAAATTGCACCATCTTACAATATGTAGACTTGATTTATTTAAACTCTGTGTGAAAGACTGTACCTATTCCTGGAATCCCTTTTACCAGCCTGTTTTTTTCGGCTGGGTGAAAACAAGTGATTTCTACTGGCACTGATCACAAACAGCTGTTGTTAAATCACAGCCTCTGACTGCTCAAAACTTTCCTATTTAGTTGAAAGTCTTTCATGACTGGCTGCAGCACAAACAGCAATATTTTAATTTTTTTCTTAAACCTTGAGCAAAATTGGTTTTTCTCTTTCCAAATTACACAGGAGTGGGAAATATGTACATATATCTGTACGTGTGTGTGTGTGTGTGTGTGTATATGTAATACCTATACATCAAACATGTAAGACAGTTTTAGATATGCATTAGCTTACAAGGACTAAACTTTCCAGACCACATTTTCCAGTAGACTTACTTCTGAGAAATTTGAAAAGCAGGAATTTTTTAGGAATGAAAAAAAATCAACATTAATAAAATAATAAGAAAACCAGACAACTGCAATCATGTCCTTGCAATTGTACAAACCAGCCAATACGTTCCCAGTAGACTGAGTTGCAATATTATTTATAGAAACACATAAAAATGCAAACACATCATAATATTATACAGCTAAAATCTTGCCGTAGAAGTTCATCAATACAGATTTCATAGTTGCATACATGTTTCTTTATTCATACTCAAAACTAATATACTACACATATTGAAGGACAATTCTGTGCTAAACCTATCCAGAGTGCAGTACAATGTATTGTCCAGTGTATTGGAACTTATTTTACCTGTCAGCTGAATCACTTGGTTATTTGATATGAATATGTATTAGCATCAGAGCAATAGCTAAAAGGTAACTAAAAGA